CCTCCTCCACCACCACCACCACCGGCATCCAGTTCCTTTCTCCACACAATACGTTTCACAAACTGCACTGCACTGTTTCTAGAGGCGTCTTCTGGTGTCTGCTCTACAAAAACACGCTGCGTGTAACGCCCATATCCCGCCTCGCTCCAAACGCGTTCTTCGTGCTCCCTTGGGCACTAGCAAAAAGACACAAAAGTAGCTGCAGTTCAGGGAGTTTATGAATAAATCGATTAGTGAGTGCTACTCCTCGGCTGGTGACAACCGTTCCAACATTCACATTGCGCCACATTCCTAGTATAGGCCGGAAAAGCGCTGACAAATTAGATTGCCTATTGGTCAGATGTGGTTATGTAGCCCCACCTGAAGTAAACAAACCCCGGCCACCTGTATCACGGGGCCGGCGGTAATAGGGGTTTTTACAGATGGGGTGGGGGAAGGCACAGGCGACGAGGTCAAGTAGTTGTACGCAAGAGAAAAACCATTGGAAATGCACGGTCGTACTTTGAGTGCTTGAGAAATAGTTGTCCTAACCCCTAACCATAATCCTTGCTTATAGCCCTAACCCCTGACCCATAACCATAACCCCTAGCCCCAACCCCAGCAGTATTGTGTCCATCAGGTGGGGCTACATAACCACATCTCACCCACCTCTTTTTTCAATGATAGTGCTTATGTTCACAAATGGTTTCTTGTCCCCTCAATATGCAAAAAGACATAGTAGTGAGCTTAAAACCAGCATATCTTCCAGAGATCAACATCATCTGAATGGTTTGCCAACGACCAAGTTGACTGGAACCGATTACGTGTGCAATATTTCTTGTTAGTTAAACAGGCAGTGGTGAGAGCGGACAGTGTCTGTTTTGATTTTGAGCACTGACATGTGTTTCCGAGAAAGAAAAACACAGCGCCGCGTTGAAACGTGTGAGCATCTGCACTGAGCTCTGGTTTTAAGGCCACGGAGATGCGTAGCACACATGCAGCCAAAAGGACCAGGTTGTGACCTCGAAGGGGTAGGAAGAAAAGCGCAAAATTTGCATTCTGCAAGAGAAAAACCACAACTGACGTTTATCCGTAGACGAAAACAACTAAAGCATACGGTTACTCACCGGTTGTGCAATCATGAAGACGGAAAAACACCCAGAGGTTTAGGCAGCAAAAGGGTTTGACGACTTTTGCCGCTGCCCGACCCAGCTGCGAAGGGTTCGGCTTAGCAGCGGGCCCCCCCCCAACCCTTTTCCGTGTGTTTTCTAGCAGATGAAACCCAGTTTCACCCTGCCGTGTTAAATTGCCGAGAAAATTAATGCGCGAAATTGGAGTAAGTTCTTTGGAACGGGCCTTTCTCCGACTGGGGAAGACACCTGTGTCTAGGCCCCTAACTATTACTCGTGCTATCAGTATGGTAGACAATTTCATAAGCTCCATCTGATTTGCACATGCTTCAACATTGTCTAGGAGCTCCGCATGCTGGTTGTCTTCTTGACCTGGACGTCAGGTATCCGATCCTGCCGCTTTACCTTTGGACAGTGGTTACGTTTTGTCAGTGATTCCGGTCATCGCACTGCAGAGCGGTGTCGCCAAGGCAACAATCCTGGACACTCCGAGCTTCATTTTGAGGAGGAGGAGGAGGAGGAGGAGGAGGAGGAGGAGGAGGAGGAGGGGATCACGACCTCCGATCCGCTGTTACATCCTCTCCAAGATCTGGCTGACTTTGGAGCTCTGAGTCTCTATCCCCATTTTAGATTTTCGTAATCCATGCGATAGCGTTGTCAAGTAATTGAATTACTCCTCTCTTGTAAGACGATCATCCCTAACAGCTGCCGTGGTTTCGGTTTATCAGATAGATGACGCCGGTTTTTGCATGATAATAGCTTCCTGCTTGTTTACGATTAGTCTCACGATGCTGCAGCCCGAGTCGTCAAATGCAGAGTCATTGAGAAAGAGAAAGTGGTATACTTTGCCGTTTGAGAGGGAGAGAGAGAGAAGAACTCGCTTTATTTTGAAACCATAAATTCAAAATTTTCAGCAAAAAATCGGCTCCATTCACTATGGGCAGTAAAAGAGTTAAGAGACTATTACCGAGTCAAAAAGTTTAACACTAAAGGGACGATTATTAAGGGGACAGTTCAAGTCTTAGTTTCTGAATTTCTGTCTCTTCACACGTAAGATAGCGCGCCAGGAATGGCAATGCAGAAGCTCGAAAAGCCTATGTGTGACAAGACATAAGTCGGAAGCTGAGGCGCATCGGGCGGGAAGATTTTTCAGAAATAAGATCAGAATGCAAGGGATGGGCAACGTCATATAGAATCTGACCAGCAAATTGCTTGACCTCATTGAAATGTCGTTGTAGGATAGTGTCGACTAATAAAGATAACAAACACCAGCGGCGCAAGCGAGCATTCAGAGGACTCGTTTTAAAATTAAAAGACTTTTTTGAGCAAAGCAGGAAAAATGACAGGCAAAAAGTATAGGATAAGACGAAAAATGCAGGCATCGATGAATCGCCAGACTAAGGGCTGAGGTGTGTGGTAGGAACGTAAACGACGAATGTAATAAAGAAGTTTACGAACTTTAGGAAATAGGGACTCAATATGACGGGAAATGAAATATTTCATGACAAAGTAATGCCAAGGTACCTGAAACAGGATACCTCGTTAGGAAGGATGTCAGAGGATTCAGGTCTAGGAGAAGGCTGCATTCGGAAAATACACTGAACGGATTTTTGGCTGTTCATTAGGAGACCATTTTCCTACGACCATACTAGGACATGGTTTAGGCCACACCTTAGAGACTGGAAGTGTGTCTTACTTTTGTGAGGGTGTCCAACAACCACATCATCATCATCATACTTAACCAAAAGACAGTCGTTAGGGTATCTTAGATCGTCGGTGTGAAGGAGGAAAAGGTGGGGGGATAGAATTGAATCTTGAAGAACTCCGCAGTCATTGGGAAGGACCATAGATTTCCGCTTGCCGGACTGGCATACATTGAGGTCCATGTGTTTACATTTACGGATTCCGGTAAGGCCTCGCAGCTCAGGTAGCTAGTGGTCTAATGTACTCAAGCCTCGCGCTCCACCGTGGCTTCCGAGTTTTTCACGAGGGGGTCCATTAAAGAGGAAATTGACAGGGCACTGACGACCTGGCTGCTGGCAGTCTATTTGCCCACATTTACTCACTCGTCTAAGCATACCCCTGGGGTGGGGACTCATTACTTAAATAAAACATACGTCCCAAAAATAACATAAATCACTAATCTGACTTTTCGACTCATCAAAAGAAAAAAATATCAAGAAATTAGGGCGGGGCTGACTTATGTGGACGTCTAAACAGGACATGAGAATAGGAACGCCCCACCCAAGTTATGAAGGTGAACCTGTGCCTCCCCCGTTAGGGCAGACTTTATACTTTTCTCTGTCATAATGAATAAC